TTGTATGCACCCAGGGAAATAACCTGGGTCCTCCCAGAAGTTCAGTGACTGACCTGAGGTGTCTGGTTTATCCTTCCTGGCCGCCCCCCATCCCCTGAGACAAGCAGTTGTATGTATATTTCTCTCTCCATCTTGCATTTATGAATATTTGCTCGAGTTTTGCTTTTTCCCCTTTAACAATATTTCCTGGAAGTCACTCCATGTAAGTTCATTTCAGTCTTTTTTGGGGAGAGGGGGGACAAGTATACATAGTAGTCCCTGTGAATGATGGATCTGGTTTTAGCTTGTTCCAAGTGGCTACCCAGTTGTCCCCATTTATTTAAAAAGTCGAATTTTCGCTCCAGTGGTCTGAGCTGCCTCCTTGACGAGATAGCCCTGGGCCCCCGCCAGGGATCCAACCCGAAACCCAGGTATGTGCGTGGCCGGAATCGAACCTGCGGCGGTTCGGAGGATGGGAGGAGGCTCCAACCAAGAGAGCCCCCGGCAGGGCGCCCCTTCCTGCTTCTTGACGCGGCAGGTGACTTTGCAGGTGACAAAGGACAAGCCTGCGGCTCAGTGCGGGAATTCTCGGCACCGCGTTTAGCGCGCGGACCTCTTGCCAAGCCGCGCAGCGCAGCCCGACCGCGACCGCGACCGTGACCGTGACCGCGACCGCGACCGCGGCCGGCGCCTGGCCTGGGCTCCGCGGCCGAGCGTCGGCCCTGCACCAGGTCGCAGGCTGGACCCCGTCGGGGCAGGCGCCCAGGTGTGGGCCGGGGCCCGGGGGCGCGCAGGAGGCGGCCCGTCCACGCTCCTCTCGGAAACCAACAAAGGGAAATGGAGCCGCTCGCTCCTGGGCCGGCACAGCGCGCGCCTGCACACCAGGCGGTGACCGGCCCGCCTCTGGCCCCGGGGATCGGCGCCGGAACACGCCCGACACCCCGGAGCCGCCTCGGAACCGAAGTGCGGGCACCGCGGGCACCGGGACCGCAGGGACGGCGCGCGGCCGGAGCGGGTGGGCGGTGCTCGGCCGGAGCCGCGGCCCGGGGGCGGGGCCTGCGTGACGGCGCCCAGAGCCGCCCGCATTGGTCCGGAGGGTGAGTGACGCGCCCGGCCCCGCCCCGCGCCCGGCCCCGCCCCGCCCCGCGCTCGCGGCGCTGACGTGTCCGCGGGCGCTTCCTCCTCCCGCGGACCCGGCGCCTGGGGCGGGCAGGCGGGCGGCGCTCCCCCGGCCCCGGCCCAGCCCCCGCGGCCGCCCGCCCCGGGCCGCGGTATAAAGCGGAGCCGCGCCGGGCGGGCGCCGTCGCGCCGAGTCGGTCGCTGAGAGGCCTGGAAGGAGCCGGGACCAGGGACCAGGTGCGGACGCGGCCGGGCCGGGCGCGGGGCGGCGGCCACACGTGGACGGGGCGGGCGGCACCGACTCCTGAGCGAGACCGCGGGCCCGCCGGCGCCGCCCGGGGACGTGACAGCGGCGCGGGGCCCACGCGCCCGGCTTGGCCGGTGGGGGCAGCGCGGGCCGAGCGCACGGCGGGTCCGGGCACGAGCGGGGGGCGTGAGCAGGTCGCCGGGGCCGCGGCACGTGCGCGTCGGGGCTGCGCGCCGCTTGCCGGGCTCTGGGGGGGCTCGGCGGGAGCTGGTGGCGGGCTCCGCGGGTTCGGGGCTCCGCGGGGTCACGGAAGACCGGGTCCCAGATCACTGGGGTCACGGACGACCGGGTCCCAGAGGACCAGGGTCCCAGATGTTCAGGTCACAGATGACCGGGGTGGGGGTGTGTGTGTCAGATGCTCAGGGTCACAGATACCTGGGGTCACGGACGACCAGGGTCACGGATGCCCGGGGTCACAGATGACTAGGGGTCACAGATGCTTGGGTCACAGATACCTGGGGTCACAGACGACCAGGGTCACGGATGCCCGGGGTCACAGATGCTTGGGTCACAGATACCTGGGGTCCCAGACGACTGGGTCCCAGACGACCGGGTCCCAGATCACTGGGGTCACGGACGACCAGGGTCACGGATGCCCAGGGTCACAGATGACTGGGGGTCACAGATGCTCAGGGTCCCCCCCTTAGATGCCGGGGATCACCTGGGGTGTGGAGCTGCGGGGGAGCGGAGGGGGCACCGTTTCTCTAATGAAGCTGCATCTGGTAACGGGGCGATCACCCCACCTGTCATCGTTTTGACGCACACGCTCAGGCTGTCACCCCCCCCCCCCGCATCTCCATCTCTTTCAGACCGAGCTTGTCAGGGTGGAAACCGGCCCCCACCCTCACCAGAGTCAATGGGGAGAACGCACTGGTTGTGTGGCTGGGACATGCCTGTCTGCCCCAGAATCACAGAGGACGCTGTTCTTGTCCGAAGGAAGGTTCCCTTCCCGACGGCACCCACCGGGGTCTAGCCCAGGGGTCAGAGTCTGCTGACTTGCTGGGACCCTTTTCTCCAGCGCCTGCAGGTGGGAGGCAGCAGATGGCTCTGCAGGGAAAGTTTGACTTTTATCTTGAAACTGTGTTTGCACGTGGAGTAGGCGGGGCACCCTCCACGGTGGACTGTCATTCGGGGTGTGACAAGGCCGGTGGGGCCACCTTCATGAGGAAGTGTGTGCACAGGGAGGGGAGGATTTTCACAGGTCCGGGTGGGGAGGACCGAGGCAGAGGACTTCCTGTTTTCCGGTTACCTGGCTCCTGCTGAGCTTCCTCAACTTTAGAAAAGACCCCATTGCTTGGAAAATGGTTTAACATAAACCTGTCTCTCTCATTGTCTTTGTTACGTGATGTAACTTTAAAACTAAGTAATGCCATCATATCTCCTGAAGCCTATGTGTATCGACAGAAATGCCCTTTAACACCTGGTGAGGCCCAGGCTCAGTCTGCTGGCCCCTGGCCTGGTGCCTGCCTGCCCCCCCTGGGGCTCTCTTCGAGCCCACATCTAGTGTTTCTGTGCAGACGACCTCTGAACTCCAGGTGAATGCGTTTTTCGTCTCATCAAGCATTTCTATTCGGAGTCTAATGGGCATCTCAGACTGACCCGGACCAGAGTGGAGATCGACTTTCCCGTGCTGCACACACGTCCCTAAGTCTGCACTTGTCCCCGGTGTCCCCGCCTCGGGACATGCGACTCTGCCTGAAGTCATCTTTGCTTGACGCCTGTCTCACTCCACCCTGGATTGGTGACCCAGCCCTCTGGGTCCACCCTAAGAACCGCCGTCACCATGGTGCCGAGCCGCTGTCATCTTGTCTGGACAAGTTGGTAGTCCCTGACAGTCCGCTGGCCCGACTGGGGCCTCACTACGGACTCTTCCCCACACAGCGGCGGACTGACCCTTCAACACCCGAGTCAGCCCAGGATGCTGCTCTGCTTCCAGCTCCCCTGGCCCCCGGACCCCAGGGTCTTGGCCTTGACCACAGGGCCCGAGTGCAGCTGCCTCTGCCCACGTTGCCAGCCCTGTTTCCTGTCACCTGTGGCTTGGTCAGCTGGCTCCGCTGCATCAGCCTTCACTTGCCTCGAACAGGCTGAGCACTGCCTATCCTGCAGCTGCCACACCTGACACTCCCTCTGCCTGCAGCTCCTCCCCAGATCCCTGTCTTCCCGGAAGTCTCCCTGAGGCCCTGCCCAGCCACAGGCTGCAGTGCCTGCCACCAGCCCCCTCCCACTTCGCTTCTCCTCATAGCCCTGGCTCATCACTCCTGACGCTTTGCGAAACTGTCCCGTGCAGGGGTGTGGGCGTACACACTGTGGCTTCGCTCCCTCCGTGTCCCTGTCCCCTGCGTCAGCACCTGGCCGCCGCAGTGCTCGGGAAACCTTTGTGGAGGGAATTCATAGCAATGCAAGTTGCATAGTTTCCTTCTCGACGTCTCTGTGCTCTTGGCTGTGTGGTCGTCCTGCTCAGGTAGATACTGTTTGAGCACGTGGACACTGCTCCGCCGTTCTCGGGGGGAGGGGGGGCACGTGGGCACGTCCTTGGTGCCGTCACATCTGAGCTGGGCGGTCACCGCCCAGTGACGAGTCCGTCCCCACCGTGACCTCGCAGGGACCCCTTCCTCTCTCCCTGTCAGGCTCGCCGCCTTGGGCTCACTGTCCCTGTGCTGTCTTCTCGGTGGTGTTCCTGCTTCTCGCCCTCTGCTCCTGCCGGCGTCTCCGAGGCTGCCGAGCCCTGCTGCTGGCTTCCTGTCACCCGCCGTCAAGTTAAATCCTTTCCTTAGCTTTTAGGGCCCCTCTCGGGTTAGCCTGGCCACATCCCTTCTCATCCACGTCAAGCACCCACGCGCCTCCTCCTGGTGGCACCAGCTGTGCCCACTCCTACCCTCACCTGTGTCTTTGCCCGGCCCTCCTGGCGCAGTGTGCGCTTCCAGTGTGAGCGTCCCGCTCTCCATGGGCGAGGACCTGACCTGTCTCCCCAAGCTCTTCCCTGCTGTACTTGTGCGTCCAGCTGTGCGTCACGGATGCCCCTGCCCGTTGGCTGTGCCGTGCGCCGCTTGTGCCGAGGTTCAGGTCTTAGTAAAGAGAACGCCCGTGTTTTCATCCCCTCGCTGCGGAAGTCGCCATGGAAATAAAACACTCTTCACGCTGACGGGTCCGAGCTTCTCGAGAGTTGTTGTTTCTGAATGCAGCAGTCACTGCCGGCGTTAGAGGGGAAGGACACTTGGAATGTCAGGCTGTCAGGTGCTCTTTCCGTGGTGGCTGAGTGGTCAGAGGGTCCTGCAGGGGAGAGGAGCCACACGTGGAGTGCGGGAGCCGGGGCTCCTTTGGCAGCTGCCAGTTGTGGGAGGCCGTGTGGGGAGGTACGGGGTGCCGTGCCCGCACCAATGCCAGGTGTCGCCTTACGACTTGGTCTCACGGGTGCTGAGACGGAAAGGCAGAAGTGCGTGCTCACCATCAGGTTTCTGTAATGTATTTATTTCCAGTTGGAAAAACCCATCAGGTTTCGAGGCTGGACTTTGACTTGCTGTTGATTTCTTTTCTCTTGCAGGTTTCTAGGTGTGGAAATTATACCGTTTTCAGAAGGCCTGGCGTCCAGAGCATCATGGATGTCAGTGACCTCAGGCTCAGGTTGTCCAGAGCTGGGCAGGAGCACCTCCTCCAGTTCTGGGACGAGCTGGACGGAGCCCAGCAGGCCGAGCTCTACGCAGAGCTCCAGGCCATGAACTTCGAGGAACTGAATGTCTTCTTCCAGAAGGCCACTGCGGAGTCCAGCCAGGCCTCTCAGCAGGAGAAGGTGGACGCGCGGATGGAGCCTGTGCCCCGGGAGGTGCTGGGCAGTGCCACGAGGGACCACGGCCAGCTCCAGGCCTGGGAGAGTGAAGGTACTGCATGTGAGCGCGGTCCTGAGGTGCAGGGAACACGCTGCGTCTTCGTTCACGCCGGGGCTCTCACTGCTCGGCCAGGGGCCGTCAGAGTGACGGCGTGTTTGCCAAGCCCTGCGCAGCGTCCCCACTGTCGTCCCTGCACCCTCTGTTCATCCTGGCGCCAGTCCGAGCCTCTCTCACTCGAGTCTCAGACCTGGATTGCCTCAGTCTCCCTCCTCCGTGCTCATGCCTCTGGGCTTCCCTTCTTAAAGCACCAGCACGTGCTCATGCTGTTTGAACCGAACCCTGAGCCCTGCCCGAGTGCTCTCCCCCCAACATGTTAGCCGGACAGCTCTCCTCCTCTGGACACTGCTGGGCCTGTCCTATCTCTGCTGTGCCCCGAGGTGGCCGCCTGGGGCCCTGTGAGGCTCTCCTGGAGCCCTGCCCTGTGGGGAACACACACCCCTTCTCTGAGCCTCACCACGCCCTGCCTGGCCAGGGCCTGTCTCTGTGTCCCACGTTGCAGCCGTTTGTCCAGCCTCCTCTTTCCTTCCACTGTGGTCAGAGTTGTTGGCGTCTGTCTGCTCGGAGCTCCCGCGGGGCGGCCGGGGCGTGTCCTGCTGGCTGTGTGCACACAGCCCTTGGAACAGGGCTTCACCTTCTGGTTGGTGGGTAATGCCTGGTGCTTTTCCTTAACGCAGGTTGTGAGGCCTGTCCCCATAGCGAGTGCTGGTTAATGCTCTTCAGAAGGATAGAATAGCTCAAGTGTCGCTTTCTTGGTGGAGGGAGGAGCTGTGCTTCTTGTAATGACCCCTCTGTGAGTAAAAGGTCGACTAAGAATCGCAGCCCAGGCCCTTGAGTGCTGTGCGTGCCCAGTGACCTGGACCTCATCTCAGTGAACAGGCTGGACCGATTCTGTCCCTTCCTTTCTGAAAAGCATTACTTCAGTGCAGTCGCCCATCACCTCATCGGGTCTGTTTTTGCTCCTCTGCCACCTGGTGCTTGATCGTGCACGTGTTCACCTTCTCAGCGAGCAGGAACCAGATGCGGTCATGCAGCTGTGTTTGCCCTGCCACAACTGTTTTATTTGCCTTCCATGCTCTGACACTCCCTGCCCCCCACAAGAGAAAGGTGGTGGCCGTTACCAACCTTCTGTGGGGCTCTCTGCGTGTTCCTCTGCGCTTACGGTTTACTGATTGTCCAGCTGTTCTCCACAGGGCCCCAGGGGTTCTGCTCCCCAGACTCTCCTGTGTCTTGTCGGGTGCTCAGCCTCTGCACCTCGCACGACAGGAGCAGTTCTGCTCGTCCTGTTCTATGTATCTGGTCTTTGCCCGAGTTTTACTTAGAAGGAGTGAGAGACGAAAAAACATTGGAAACAGTTGGATGATCTTCCGGGAGGGCCCTTGCAGCCCTGAAATGTTTGGCAGTGCCTGGCCCTGTGTGGCTCAGTGGATGGAGCGTCGTCCCATGGACTGAGAGGTCCCGGTTCAATTCCTGGTCAGGACACGCGCTCAGGCTGTGGGCTCCGTCCCCAGCAGGGGGCGTGCAGGAGGCAGCTCCGTCCCCAGCAGGGGGCGTGCAGGAGGCAGCTGATTGATGTTTCTCTTACATCAATGTTTCTACCTCTCTCTAAAAAATCAATAAAAAGACTTAAAAAATAAAATAAAAAGTTTGGTAGTGACCAACCTAGCTTTTCACTGAGAGGAGGGCTGCTCACCAGCCGGCTGTGCGGAGCAGCACCAGGTGGGCCCTCTGGGGTGGAGATTCTGTTCTGCAGAGCTGCTGGGTCCCTGCTGACTGGGATTCGTCCATCCTTCCTCCTCTGCACTCCAGAAAGTGTGCTACTCGACCAAGTGCCACACAGGCCTCTTCTTGCCCTGGAGTATCCCAGCCTCCAAAACCTGCCTTTGCGGTTTTATGGGGATGAAGTCTTAGAATGAACTCTGATGGAAATCCAAAGCTTTGACCTTGGAAAATGGGGACCATGAGCACCTAGGAGGGCTTCCCATAACTTGAGTCTTTTTTATGACTTTTTGTTGGAATGTGTAAAACTAGTCTACATTTATGACTTTTCCTTTAAACTAAAGACTGGAACTATTATAACTAGTGCAGTATAAGAAGGTACAAAGCAAACTTCTTTTTGGCTTAATGTCAAGGGGTCAGTGTTTATTTGTGGCTTAAACAGTAGGGTGGAGAAGGAGACTTTATACCTGACGTTATACCTGTTTCACTCGGCCAGACACTTCCACGCGTGCAAATCGTGATAGTGAGGCTCCTACAGGAAACGGTCGGGGAGACCGCCACTGTGACCATGGTGAGGCTGCGTTTCGGAAGACGGGAGCCCGGTGACTGCGTGAGCGAGAGCGCTCTGCCCAGCAACCGGGCAGGTAGACGCGTTTCAGTGATTTCACAGTGTCTGGCGCCTCTTGACATGACAGTGGACATGCAGCCCTTGGTGTGGGGCGTTGTCTCTGACGGATAAACACGTGAGTGAGCCCAGTGCTCCTGTTGACAAGATCCTGCTGGGCGCCAGGTGCTCTGTCCAGTTGGGGGGCAGCCCGCTCTGTCTCACAGAGCTGAGCTCAGACCAGCAGAGGCTCTGCAGACACCCCTTCGTCAAGACTCTCACGCTGGGCAGTGTGTTGGCTTAATAACCAGCCCTCGTGCTCTTTTTATTTTTTTAATAAAAATCTATTCTTTTTTATTTTTATGTTTTTATTGACTTTTTTAGTGAGAGAGGAAGGGGGGGGGAGAGAAACATTGATGTGAGAGAGAGACATCTATCAGCTGCCTCCTGCACGCCCCCTGCTGGGGGTTGATCCCAGGATCCGGGCACGTGCCCTGACCGGGAATCAAACCAGGACCTCTCAGCCACAGGATGACGCTCAGGCCACTGAGTCACGCCAGCTGGCTTCCATCTCTTTTAAATAAGCCATGCTTATGCGGAGCACACAGGAATCTTTCAGTCTTGCATAGTGACAGCAAATCGGTGCTCAGCGTCAGCCTTTCTTGCCTGTGAGACCTTTGACAAACTCACCTCAGAGGTGTCTCCGCGTGCGGCGCCGTGGTGGACAGTGAGTGTGTGTTTGGACAAGTGTTCAGGAGAGACCTCCTCAGCATTTTCTGAGATTCAGCACAGTGACCTTTTCTTAACCCTCGCCCGAGGATATGCCTGTTGATTTAGAGAGAGGGGAAGAGGGGGAGAGAGAGAGACATCCGAGAGAGAGAACTTCGATGGGTTGCCTCCCATTCGGCCCCGTGGGATCAAACCCACAACCTTTTAGTACAAGGGACACTGCTCCAACCAACTGCGCCACACTGGCCAGGGCCGCAGGGACATTCTTAACAGAATTGTTTTATTGTAAAAGTGACATGTGCCCATTTTAGAGAACTTGGAAGTGGCTAAACATTAGAGGAAAACAGAAATCTCTGCCGTCCCCTAGGCCAGAGGCAGGTGCTCAGCGGTGCTAGCTGGTGTTTACACAGTTACGGTCTGTGCACACTTTCCTAGCCTGCTCTACGAATTTGTTGAGGAAGATTCCAGGCGTATTTTGAGACGTTTTTGGGGAAAAGAGCAGTCTGATGACCCCATATTCACGTCACCCTGATTTAACAGCTGCCGGAACCGCTGCTGTGTGTCACCCCGGTTCAGCGCTGCCATATTTCAGGGACCTCCCGCGTCACGTGGTTTCGCTCTCGTGCGCCCCTAGCGCCTGGGCCTTTTCTTGTGGCTCAGTGTCGTTTCAGACCTAATGAAGTTCACAGTGACCCCCAGTGACTGAAACTGGTTCTCCTAGAGATTCCCTTCGTTAGTCTGTTTAACTGATGTGCTTGACGTTCTGGGGGAGTAGTTAATCCATGAGGTCGCAGTTTCTGCTGCCCTGACTCACCCTCTCTCCCTGGGGAGCAGCCTGCTGCCCACCCTGGTGCCGGGTCGACGTCTGCCTGGCCGTGCCCGCTCAGCACCTGTGCGACCTCCCGGGGCCGGGCGGAGCCTGGGCAAGGTGTACGACGGGAACCCGTCCAAGCCGGAACGGACCTGGACCTGGGCAGCTCCCTGCACTGCTGGCCCCTGTGAACGTTGCCAGGAAGGGTGTGTGCTCCCGGGCGGGGGTGGGTGGGGTGGGGGCCAGCCCTGGCAGTGGCTCACTCTGCCGTGTGTTTGTTTTGGGTTGTTTGTTTTTTTCCAGTCTCTGATTTGGTCTGTGTTGAGGTCCCCCCGTAGGAAACTTTTTAGCTCTCGTGTCCGGTAAGGGACAGCCCAGAGTTGGCATGTCAGACAGACCCATGTCACCCCCGGATGTGAGCATCACAGTCACCGATGCTCAGCACTGCCCCCGACCCCGGCTGGTGTAGAGGCCAGTGGCCAGCCTGGTTCTCAGAGTTTCGAGGATTTCAGTGCAAGTGTGAAGTCCAGGAAGCAAGAGCCTAACTGCCCACCACTGCTCTGCCCACCGCCTCTGCCTGCTGCCGACAGTCTGCCTCAGCATGTGGCCCTCAGACGTGCAGGCAGAGACGGGGGTGACTTAAAAAACCCAAACTGAGAGCCTCTGTGTGTGTTTTCTCTTTTTAATCCTTACCCAAGGATTTCCCCCCATTTCTCGTCAGAGTGGGAGGGAGGGAGGGAGAGAGAGAAACACCGATGTGAGAGACACGTCAGTTGGTTGCCTCCCACACGACCCTAACCAGGGCTGGGGACAGAACTGCATCTGAGGTACGTGCCCTTGACTGGAATAGAACCTGCGACTCTTTGGTTCACAGGCCGATGCTACAGCCACCGAGCCAAACCGGCCAGGGCAGAGAGCCTCTGTGTTTGTTTGTTTGTTTTTTTTGGTGGTACATGCCCCTAACGGGAACTGAACCCGGGACTCTCTGGTCCGCAGGTCAGTGCTCAACCACTGAGCCAAACTGGCCAGGGCAAGCTTCTGTGGTTTAATGACTTAGTTTCATTGGTTTGCATTTGGATCTTAAATCCATTTGCATCTATTTTGATTTGAAGGATAACATTCTCATCCAAATGTGAAGGCTGGGGCGACTCACAAGCCTTGTCGCTCACCCGAAGCCTGTCTTCTGTGGCCCAGCCTCGCTCAGCTGCCGGCACCAGTGCCTGGGCGCATGCCGCCCCCGGTCTCTGCCTGCCAGTGCCACAGAGCAAAGGGCCAGTTCACTGAAGTGCAGTGCGGATGTCTGGCTGGGTGTGCGGATTAATCTTTAACAGCGGATGTGCTTTTACTAACAAGACAGTCATTCGTGATCACGTGGGGAGCCCTTGTATGCCGTGCGGGAGGTGACTTTTGTGTTGACCCTAAAGCGCCAACACACTGAGCTCTGTGATTCCCGTGTTTTCTTCCCTAGGACTTTTCCAGATCTCCCAGAGCAAAGTGGCAGTTCTGCTTCTAGCTGGTGGCCAGGGGACCAGGCTCGGTGTTGCATACCCCAAGGGGATGTACGACGTTGGCTTACCGTCCCATAAGACCCTTTTCCAGATTCAGGCGGAGCGGATCCTGAAGCTTCAGCGGTTGGCCGAGGGACGCCATGGCACCAAGTGCACCATCCCGTGGTGAGCCGCTCACGGGGCCCAGAGACACGCGGAACGCCGCGGCGCCCGCTCCTGCGGGTTTTCCTGGGAGCTGAGCTTCTCACGTGTGTTGAAAGTAGCACGTTTTGTAGTTAGATAGGCGATCCCTGTACCTCAAGGATGTGTCCTCCCCTCCAATATATATCCCGACCCGAGTCCCTTTGGGTCCAGTGGGTTCTCTTGGTCTGGAAACTCCATACCGATGGGTCGTCTGTGTACAGGACTCTGACTGAAGACTTGAAGGCAGCCCGGCCTGCATGGCTCAGTGGTTGAGCATCGACCCTGCACCAAGAGGTCGCTGGTTCGATTCCCGGTCAGGTTGTGGGTCCGATCCCCAGCGGGGGCATGCAGGAGGCAGCCAGTCGATGTTCTCTCATTAGTGTTTCTATCTCCCCCTCTCCTCTCCTGTCTCTAAAGTCACTAAAAGAAAAGAAAGGCAAACTTGAAGGCATCGTTCTGTGGTGCCCAGCGTGGCTGTGGGGGGCCCAATGCCGTCCGCTCCCCATTCTTTCCCTCCCTCTCCCTGAAAGAGGGTCTCTCCTTGTCTTCAGTATCGCAGATTTCGGGGGCATGGTGTGGGTCTGTTCTCAGTGGGCTCTCCCAGTCTGGGAACCCGTATTCTTTGTTGTTGTTAATCTTCATCTGAGATATTTTTCCATTGGTTGTTTTTTTTTATCCTCATCTGAGGACATTTTTGCATTTATTTTCAGGTAGAGCGGGAGGGAGAGAGAGGGGAAGAGAGAAAGAGAGAAAGATCGATGTGACAGAGACACATCGAGTGGCTGCCACCCACACAACCCAACCGGGGCCGGGGACAAACTGCAACTGAGGTACATGCCCCGAGCGGGAACCGAACCCGGGGCTCTCTGGTCCGCAGGCCAGTGCTCCAACCGCTGAGCCAAACCAGCCAGGGCTTTTTCCATTGGTTTTAAGAGAGAGAGGAAGGGAGGAAAGAAGGGTAAGAGAGGGAGAGGGAGGAACATCAATGTGAGAGACACATGGATCGGTTGCCTCCCACACGTGTGCCCCAGCTGGTCTGGGGCTCAAACCTGCAGCCCAGGCCCGTATGTGCCCGTGATCGGGCCTCGAACCTGAGACCCTTTGGTGCGCAGACGCTCTAGCACTGAGCCACAGCGGCCAGAGCCACTGTCTCTGATTTTAAATGAAGGGCGAACAGAACCCAGAGTCCATTTCAGAATTTTACCTGAGAGACCACAAGAGATCACTGGAATGCATTTCGGTTGCCCTTCGCTGTTTATTTGGATGAGTTTTTAATTTGAAATGCCGTTTTCACTGAGTTCCCCCATAGTTCCTCTGGTTGGCTGCAGGCTCTGCTGCCAGACGGGGTGGCCATTGCAGCGACGTGGCTCATGGTAGGATGGGCGGTAGCGGAGGAGGTCCTGGAGGGGTCGGGGGCTCCCAGAGACTCCCCTCAGCCGGGGAGCAGGCAGGACGCTGGGCCCGCTGCGGAGGGCACAGGTCTTAGAAGATGCGCTTTTCTCTTCAGGTACATAATGACCAGCGGCAGAACCATGGGGTCCACCGAGGAATTCTTCACCAAGCACAAGTACTTTGGTCTGAGGAAGGAGAGCGTCGTCTTCTTCCAGCAGGGGATGCTGCCGGCTATGAGTTTCGACGGGAAGGTCATCCTGGAGGACAAGAGCAAGGTTTCCATGGCTCCAGGTCTGTGCCCTGCTCAGCGCGCGGTGGCTGGATGTGGTGATGGGAATAATTGAATCTCAGTTTTCTTTTTAATATGGCAATTTGGAAGTTAAAATTGATATTTTAAATTTTTTGCAACTTGGCATGATTTCTAAAAAGGATGTGCCCGTGGGTGCAGAGGGTGCGCTCCCACCCTCCTGGGGCGCCGGGCCTGAGGTCTGCGAGGCGGCGGAAGGCGTCCCCCGGCCTGCTGTCGGTGGTGCTACCCACACCGATGTTCGTGGGAGCGGGAATGGGCCACCTCTGCAGGGCGGCAGCCGAGAGGCTGGGTCAGAGTTTATCTGTAGCATCCCTTCCGGGCTGGTATTGAAGTAACTGGAGACCTAAAACGAGCGGAGAAAGGAGGCCAAGTAAGAGAACAAGAGTCACAGCCACACACGGCACCTGGGGCTCCCCTCCACGCACACCGGGCACAGGGCATCCCCCCGGGGAAGGAGGCGTGTCGGCAGGGCCTCGCCTGTGGGCCGCGCGGAGGAGGCTAGAGGGGACGAGCACGGAGCTCGCGTGCTTCCCCTTCATCCTTCAGTCTGCGGGGGGCCTGCTGTCCTTGCTCACCTGTCCCCGTGCCCGACCCCTTGCCATTGAGCCGGGGCGGAGGCTGTCGGGAGAAGCACCTTTGCCCGCAGTGCAAGTGCTGGGGGGGAGGCTCTGACTTGTACGTCGTCCGAGTCTGCAGAGACCTCCCGTCAGGCTCTCACGCGAATTACTCGATAGGAAAAGCCTGGGTTTCATGTTTGCCGGGAGGTTGTCAGAGCTGTAAGCACAGAGCCAGCCTGAACCATACACGGCGGTGAGAGCGAGTGTTACGGAATAGTCATCATCTGATAGTAGTTACAGGCTGACTTGTTCAGTGGGCAGGTGGGAGGTGTGGTCCTTGGGGTTGGCTTGTCCCACGTGCAGCGTGTTTCTCCGGATGCTGAGGCCGCGATGGTGCCCGAGTCTCCCTGTGCGTCCAGTGCCCGTGAGCCCCACGGCAGTCGGGTGACCTTCAGAGTGGGTTGTCTGTGCTGCTCATGGCTGTGTCATCCCCAGACGGGAACGGCGGCCTGTACCGGGCTCTGGCCGCCCAGGGCATCGTGGAGGACATGGAGCGGAGGGGCGTTGGGAGCGTCCACGTCTACTGCGTGGACAACATCCTGGTGCGAGTGGCAGACCCGCGCTTCATCGGCTTCTGCGTTCAGAAGGGAGCGGACTGTGGCGCAAAGGTGAGGCCCTGGCAGCGTGGGCGCCAGGGGTGCTGGGCTTGGGGGGGTTCTAGCGCCTTCATCTCGCCAGAGTGCTCGACCCCACACCCACTCCTCTCCTTTAGTCACGTCTGATTCTAGAGGTCGTGTGCGCTTGTCTGTCACGAGTGACAGTTTGAAACGAGTACCTGGGGCGGGATGATCGTCACCACACCTGGGTGGACCCATCCGCGTCGTCCTGCTCGGCTGCTGGAGCCGTGGGTGGGGAAAGGCAGGCAGTGGGTGTAGACTTCAGCCGGGTGCCCCGATGGTCCGTGGGCAGGACGCACACAGGCAGCCGGGGCCGGAGCTGAGACAGGATCTGCTCGAAGGGCCACCGCAGACTGGCGTCAGGTTCAGGGAGCTGCGTGCTCCACAGAACGGCCCGCCCTGGCCCTGCCTTCGCAGCGTGTGGTTGCCTAGGTGATGATGCAGGAGACTCCCTGTGAGGTGCACTAGCCAGTGCGCTGACTTCCGTAGCGAGCTCCCCTCGCAGTTCTTCTCCGAGACCCGTCTGTGTCTGGAACCACCTGTGACTGGGCCGCTGGTCAGGCCCCAGGAGCGTGAGCAGCGCCTGCCGGTCTGTCGTCCCCCTTCCTCCTCATGGCGCCGAGGTCTCTGCGGCACTTTCTTCACAGGCTTCTGTCTTGTGAACTAAGCTTTTTTAAATTTATTGTTGACAGTGTTATGGGTGTCCCCCTTTCCCTCCACCCACCCCCGCCCGCCCTGCGCTGCTGTCTGCGTCCACGGGCTGTGCACATAAGTGCTCCCCCCCGAGCTGTCAGTCTGTTCCTACTTCCTCGGGTCTGGACCCAGTTGGTTCGTCAGTTGGTCTGTCCGTCAGACCCACAGATGAGCCTTGAGAAGAGACGAGGTGGAGTGTTTGCACCAAAGGGCAGGACCGTTGTGCGTTGAACAGCATTTTCTAGCCCTGGCCGGTTTGGCTCAGCAGTTAGAGCGTCGGCCCGTGGACTGGAGAGTCCCGGGTTTGGTTCCCGCTAAGGACACGTACTTCGGTTGCGGTTTGTCCCCGTCCCCGGTTGGGTCGTGTGGGTGGCAACCACTCGATGTGTACCTTTCACGTCGATGTTTCTCTCTCTCTTCCCCCCTCCCTCCTGCTCTGTCTGAAGATAAATGCAGAAATGTCCTTGGGTGAGGATAGAAAACGGCATTTTCTGGCAGGTTCTCTCTCCCAGGAGCACGCTGCCCCCCCCCCCCCCCTGGAACGACCACCCCAAGGCCCCATGAGACTCGACACCAGGGGAGCAGCAGGCAGCGGCAGCTGGTCCTGGGCTGTCCCCGCACCTGTCTGCAGGCCCCTCCCCTTCTCAGTGAGCTCAGCTGCCCACCTGGGCTTCCCTGCGTCCCGCGGTTCCCAGCTTTGTACCTTCAGAAGGAGAGGGATGTGCTCAGTGACTTCAGGGTTTGACAGGTGGAAGGAGACAGGCCTCAGCCGTGTACTGTGCCTTCCCCGTCGTGTGAACTGGCTCCCGGCCCAGCAGTGGGCAGGCGTGTCCTTGGTGATCTGGACGCGCAGCCCTCGGAGGTCGGTGGCTGTCGTAGAAGCCAGCCCTTTACTCTCAGGTGGACAGTCCGAATGTGCGTGTGAGACGCTTGTCTGTTCCGTGTGGTCGGGAGCAGGGCGTCTAGGGGTGATTGGAAGACAGACCTTGTGTGTGTGTTTTTGTTAAGGGGGCACGAGAGGAATCGGTCCAAACCCCCATGTAGCGAAATGCCCACTGGGCACGGAGTGAGGCATGGACACACAGATGGACTCCCGTCCAGAGGCCGTGGCTGGTGTGCGTGGTGTTGCTGTGTGATGTCCGCGGTCGAAGGTCCTTCTTCACTGAAGACTGTGGCTTTTTCAGGGACAACAGTGAAGCATGCAGCAGGCTGGGCCCCGCAGCATGGCCTCGCTGGCTGGCCCCGGCCTGGGTGCTGTGTAAACTGAGCTCTGGCCGTGGCTTCAGCCGTCTGGCCGGCCTGCCGCTGTGGTGTTGACTTAAAGAGATCAGTGGCTGGAGAAAAGTTTTAACTGTATTGATATTATTTCATCTACACTTAGGGTAGACTTCTCAAACCAGGGACACATTTTCCGAAATACTTGGAAGCATGTACCTGTCAGCTGAGCCGGGCGGATGGCGCGGTTCCTCAGATACTTTTCCCTGTGCTGCTGCAGTTCGATGTTGCAGCGTCTGAGTCCTGACTTGCTGCTAGTCTTTCGCAGTTTCCCCCGAACGGGACTTGTGTGGGTGGGGCGGAGGGGACAGAGTGCCTGCAAGGGTTTGTAAACCAGAGACTCTGCCTCTCCCTTGGTCGCCATGCCCACCTCCCCAGCCCCCCAGCCCAGAGCCAGCACAGGTGATCAGACCACTGTTTGCAGACAGGTGGGGGAGCTTCCTGTCTGAGGTGGGGCGGGAGCCCAGGGATTTGCCAGCCCCGCCCTGCCCCCAGCGAAGTCCCTGAAAAACAAAGGCCATGCTGTGTTCACGGGTGAGAATGAAAGACACACATCTTCATGTGGAACAGTGACGTGGCCAGTGTGAAGCCCAGAGAAACTTCATTCCATTTATTCTCAAAGCAGTTGAGTGTGGCTAAGGATAAATTAAATAATAAACGAGGTACTTGGGGGATGTGGACTCCCCGGTTCAGGGGATTCCTCTGGGCTCGTCTGAGGGACTTTCCATCCCACGGTCAGTGGGCGGTAACCGAGTGTCCAGCGGGAAAGGAGCCCTTCAGGACAGACGAGGGGGCTCGCAGAGTCGGCGGGAGTGCGTGCGGCCAGCCCAGCGAGTGCTTGTCTCTCCCTGTGCCGCTGTCTGTCTGGGCAGGTGGTGGAGAAGACAAACCCGACGGAGCCCGTGGGCGTGGTGTGCCGTGTGGACGGGGTGTACCAGGTGGTGGAGTACAGTGAGATCTCCCTGGCCACCGCGCAGAAGCGGAGCCCGGACGGACGGCTGCTGTTCAATGCGGGCAACATTGCCAACCATTTCTTCACCGTGCCGTTTCTCAGAGACGTCGTCAGGTAGGGGCAGGCTGGGGCCTCTGGGTTTTATTCACTGTTGCTTGAGAGTAGGAAGGTGCCCAGGTCCAGTCCTGCAGAGCTGGTCTTCCTGAGGGTCACCTTCACCCACGGACATGCCCCTCGGCACTGAGCCAGGTTCTGGGGAGTGGACGCGGGGCGTCGGCGCGTCCACAGGCTGCTCACACAGGCCGGGGAGCTGGGGCCCAGACGAGCCTCGGGAGCCAGTGTGTAGAGAGGAAGACAGAGCCTGGTGCCTAAGGACCAAGTAGGAGCTGTGCGTCCCCGGGTCCGAGTGGGGGTGCTCTTGTGGTCTGAGTCCCCCTGACACCTTCCCGGCCTTCGGGACGGCTGCAGGCACTCAGCCCCGCCCCAGAATACGGCTCCCGTGCCGGCTGTCCCCGGTCCACGCTGCTCTGTGGTGACTGTTCGTACTCCGCTCCCCACCCCAGATTTGCAGGGTCTCAGGGAAAGTTGGGGCAAGGAGGAGAACACTGATCAAACGTGGGGGTGTGGGGGAGATACTGGTGTGAGAAGTAGTGTGGATTGTCCGAGTGGGGATCTGGGCTGGGACAGGCCTCACCCTGGAGCATCTGACATGTGCAGCAGCCGTTCTCGTCCTGCTCAGTGTGTACGAGCCTCAGCTGCAGCACCATGTGGCCCGGAAGAAGATCCCGTGTGTGGACGCCCAGGGGCGGCCCGTCCAGCCCGACAAGCCAAACGGAGTGAAGATGGAGAAGTTCGTCTTCGACGTCTTCCGGTTTGCAAAGTAGGTTCCACAGAGCCGGGGGGAGCCTGGAGCCTGGGCCTCCCAGGCAGACGCTGCTCCTGGGGCACTGGATGGCGCGGTGGGTGCGGTGGCTGCGTTTCTGCCCTGTGCCAGCCGCCAGCCCAGGAGGGCGTCGGGTGCCCGGGAGGCTTCTCTGCCTCAGTGTGTCTGCCGTCTGGCTGTCATTCTGCCTGAGAGGCAGGTCAGAGAGCTGGCCGTGGGCGGGACGGCTCCTGGCCTGAGAGCAGGCGAGGGAGCCAGCGTCCTCGGGGTCTGGAGCTCTCTGTGGAGGCCAGGGTGTCTCAGAGCTGACCAGCACGGAGATGAGAGTCATCTTACCAAGTATATTTCCAGATCACCCTTTCCCTAGAGGAGACACGGGGGGATCTTCTGCACCGAGGTGTCTAGTCTTTTGGACCAGTGGGTGGAAATGTTCTGGTTTTGCATTGGAGATGCGTGTTCATTCTTCCGGCATTTGTGAGATTGGGCAGAACCTGCTTGTGGGCGCGAGGCTTCGCGGGGCCACGCTGGCAGCCTGACCGGCAGTCAGCGTCCTGGTTCCGCTCGCTGCAGGAAGTTCGTGGTGTACGAGGTGTTACGAGAAGACGAGTTCTCCCCTCTGAAGAACGCGGACAGTCAGAACGGCAAGGACAACCCGACCACGGCCCGGCACGCTCTGCTGTCCCTCCACCACTGCTGGGTGCTCAGTGCCGGGGGCCACTTCGTCGACGAGAACGGCTCCCGCCTGCCTGCCATTCCCCGGTAAGCCCCGCCTCCTCGCCTTCTGCCTGGCCCTCTCTCTGCTCCTGCCTCTTGACCGAGTCAGTGAGCCCGTGGACTCCTGCTGGTGGGGACTTGGCAGCTTCTCCCATCACGAGGACACCACGTCCTCTCCTCGGAGGGGAGCCTCTGCCGCAGCCTGGTGCAGGCAGGCACAGGCCACGTGGTGTGAGGCCTGCAGCAGCGTCGGGAGCAAGTGCCCTTCGTGTGTGTGGGTCTGGCCAACAGCAGCGCTGCACACGGGGCAGGAGGACTGGTCACCACCCCGTGGGCTCGTGACAAGCACTGTCTATGCACCCCAAAGTCCCCTGCCCACACGCTCCCACGGGTCACACACCATGTCTCACCACAGAGACAGGTCACGAGAGAGGTGCCAGGAAGGGGCGTGGATGCCACTGACAGGCCCTGTTGCCCAACCTTGAGTCATGTTTTGGGGTTTCAGAAGTTAAAGAGGTACCGCCCTGGCTGGTTTGGCTCAGCAGTTAGAGCGTCAGCCTGCGGACCTCAGTTGCGGTTCTGTCCCCGGCCCTGGTCAGGGTCATTAGGAGGCAACCAATCAATGTGTCCCTCTCACGCCGATGTTTCTCCCTCCCTCCCGCTCTCTCTGAAAATCATTAAAAAACACCCTCAGGAGAGCGTTAAACAAACAATAAGAGACGAAGCCTCTTTAAGCAAAGTCTCACATTTCCTGGTGAGACCTTCTGCCCCTAGAAACCCCCCTCCAGGGGCTGGATGTCGCTGTGCTCACGGGAAACCCTCTCACGGAGTCGGGGGGGGGGGGGTGGCTGGGTGCAGGAGCCCTGGGCGCTGGGGCGGCGCTGGGCCCGAGCAGGGGCCTGCTGGTCTGCGCAGCGGTGTCTCGTCCGGGGCCCGTCCGGCCGCCCCTCAGCTCTGGCAGGTCGGGCTGTCCTCGCCTGCGTCTCATCCCCTCCCCTCTGCCAAGCTCATGGCTCGCCCTCCGTCCGCCTTCCACTCAGGCCTGCGTGCAGGTCCCCGGCGCTGCTGTCAGCGTGCTCCCCCATTAACGCCTCTTCATTCCCACGTAGCTCTGCCGCGAGCGGACAGCCAGAGGCCGGCACAGCTGATGTCAATGACAAGTAAATATGCCCACCCGCCCCGCACGGTGACGGCGGTGCTGCCCGCACTAACGGGCGGCCAGTGCAGCGCTCTGCCTTCCTGGGGTCGGCGAGGCTTCGGTGGGGGTGCTGCTTCCTCGGTGGGGGTGCTGCTTCCTCGGTGGCAGGCGTCGGGGTGACACTAACCAGCCGCAGTGCATGCTGGGCACGGCGCCTCACGGAACCGTCCCAGGCGTCTGAGCTGCAGGGACACACTGGCGAGTGACAGGGACCTGCAGTGGGTCGCAGGCCGGGCACCGCCAGCCACACGGGAGATCAGAGTGGTGCCGGGAGGTGCCTCCTGCACTGGACGCGGCACCGGGGCCTGGGGCCGAAAGCTGCCCCGATCGATTCTCCCCCTTTCGGTCTCGGCCTCATTCCGGCCATTTCCTGTCCTGCTCCTGAGAAAGGTCTTTCTGTCTAAAGAGCAGGTCGGTTTAGCTGGAAGTGCCTCCTGTCCACTCTCCTCCGGGCACTGACAGTCGGAGAAGCTGTTGTCTTTGCAGCTGCAGAGAGGCCCTGTGCTCACCCCCGAGGCACTGGGTGGGCTGTTTTCAGGGGACGCGCCAGGGCCGGGGCCGGGCTGGGCTTTCTCAGCAGCAGCAGGCGCTGGTTGTCTCCTCCGCGGGCCCTTCCTGCCGTGCGGTTCCCCTCGTCCTGGGCAGGCAGCTCCCTGTGGCCCTCGGTGTCTGGGGCGTGGCCTCGAGCCCCAGGAAGGGGAGTCACAGATCTGGCTGGTTTCTCCCCGGACCGAGGGGGACGGCTGCCTCGTCGGGGGCGCTGGGCGCAGAGCCCTTCCCTGCCTCCCGCCCAGCACCCGGAAGCAAGCTGCCTTATGGTTTAAGAAACGAGTTTCAGCCTAAATCTCCTCCTTCTCGAAGCACAGCTTTCAGCTTGGAAAGCGAAAGCCTCTGAGTCCCTCCCGGCAGAGCAGCCTCTGCCGTCCGGTAGACGTTCCGCCATTGCCCGTGGCTGGCTCTCTGTCCGTGCTGCCCCCGCCGACGCCAGTCACCTCCTGGGCACAGCTGCAGGACACACTGTCCCCAGAGGAGGGCACGGACCAGCCTGTCTCCTGCTGAGGCCCGGAGGACGCCCGCAGAGGACGGGACCCACCGCGAACTGAACGGGGCGGGGCCCTGGGGATCCTGAAGGGTGGCGGCAGGGAGGAAGGTGCTGGTTCCGACAGAACGGCAGCATCTGTGCCACCTGCTGGACACTGTCATCTACCGGAAGGGGCTCGGCTAAGAACCGCAGCCAGTCTGCCCGTCTTCTGGGTCCCCACTGGGTGATGTCTCTCCCGGGCACCCAGCTGTTGTTCAGGGCCCTGTCTTGGTTCCCTGGCGTCTGTGCGGTGTAGAGGGAGGTGGAGCTCAGGCCTGCTGCGCATCCAGACCCCTTCTGACCCTGCCCCGTCCCTCAGGCTTCAGGTCCAGGTGGGGCTGCACTTTCCCTTTGGTTTGTGGGCTCTGAGCTGCTGGGGGCTCTGGGCCAGGGCTCCGGGCACTCGGGACAGCCTGGCACAGGTCTGGAGAGCTGCCCGCCCCGCCTCTTAGAGCCTCTGTGCTCCGTACCATTGTGCCAGCCGCCCCCCCAGACCGCGGCAGTGCCATCCTGCCGGGCGTGTTGTCCTCACAGCCCCTGGGTTAAGTGTGAGGTGTAGGGAATAATCACCCGGAGGCCGTGAGTCGGCACGTGGCTGAGGCCACGGCTCCGTGTGAGCACGTGAGGAGGACAGTGGCTGTGAGCGGCTAAGGGAGGGTTGGGCTGGAGCCTGGTCTGGAGGGCAGGAGGCTTGGGAAAGCCCCAGGGACCCTCGTGCACAGTACGGTGGCCTGAACCAGTCTGCGTGGGTGTCGGGCGGTGGCTGGAGCAGGACAGGGAGCCCTGACCTGGCTGCAGGCCCTGCTGGGGAGACGGGCGCTGCCACACTCGGAGCCCAGCCCTGGGCTGGGCTGCAGCCTCAGGTCATGTGCTCAGCACAGGACAGGAGAGCCGGGTCCGAGTCTGCAGGAGGCATCTCTGTACACCGCGTGTCCTGTTGTAAAGCTCTTGGGATGGCGCTCAGAGGTCTTGTGACTTTAAATGTATTGTAAACTCTGTGACTTCCGTGTTAGGACATTAGAAACAGGGCCCAGGTGACGGTCAGTGCAGAGTGAGACCCAGAGGAGGCCGTGGGACCAGGCCTGGCCATGGCAGGCTCCCCCTCGCCGCTCAGGAGGGACTGGTGGGGGCCGCCGGGAGACGCCGTCCGGGCTGTCCAGTCGACCGCCCCACGTGGCTACAGAGCCGTCACAGCGTGGCCATGGTGATGGCGGAGTTGGATTTTAGACTTACAGTTAAGTTTCGCAGTTTTAGGAGTTTAAGGTTGAGCAGCCCGGGCGGCCAGTGGCTGTGGGCGGGTTCCCACGGTGGCAGCGTCTCTGTCGGCCTCGTGCCCTCTGGCTGTGGCAGGGATGAAGTGAGGGGCGAAGGATCAAGCACCTGCGACGTGCCCGGAACTCGCACCGCTCACGAACGGTCTCTGTCAGAGCACAGCTCGGCAGCGGTGGAGCCCTGCGCTTGGGTGCATGTGCAGGCCGGTCTGTCTGCTGGGCTCCCGCGGACCTAACGCTCGGGCTCGTGGCTGTCGGGCTGCTTATTAACAGAAGGCTGTGACGCCAGCCCCCGGGAGGAAGACCCGTCCTGTCCTCTCCGGCGAGCGGCGTGGGGACGTTAACGCTGTGTTTCTCCGCAGCCTGAAGGACGCCAACGACGTCCCCACCCAGTGCGAGATCTCGCCCCTCGTCTCCTACGCGGGAGAAGTAAGTGTCTCTGCTTCACTCCTGCTTCTCTAACCCTCGCCTGAGGATAGTCCCATCGAATTTTAGAGAGAGGGGAGGGAGGCAGGGACAGAGGAACACCGATGTGGACGTGCTGGGCCCGCCTCTGTCCCGAGCGCCGGTTCCCATGGTCAGACTCACGTCTGTTCATTCTGCCTATTCAGTGGACTTTTCAAAGCATATGGAACAGCCTTGTTTTGCAGATAAATCGTCTGTGTCTTCCTAAAGCCAAGGGTCTGTTTGTTCATGAACTTAGCATACTTGCTTTTAAGACCCAGGGAGGGAAGGATCCCCACTCTTCTGGTACGTAACATGTTCTGTGGAGACCTGGTGAGTGTGCTCGGTTCCGATGTCAGAGAGCCACCCCCGGGGCTCAGAACGTGACCTCACTCAGGTTGGTCGCAGGAAGAGTGAGCATCGTCTCGTGAACTTCAGCAGCTGTGTCATTAGCCAAATGATGTTACTGTTTTCTGTTCAAGGTGTACTCCAAGTAGATTTATTGACCTAACTCTGCACCTCAGCCCAGCTTCTGTTATTCATGCTTAAAATCCTTGTCACAGCTCCGAGCCGGGCACCCACGACTGTCCCCGCACCCTAACCGTGTCCCCTCTGCACCTTCTCCCAGGGGCTGGAGAGGTACGTGGCCAACAGGGAGTTCCACGCACCTCTGATCATCGACGAGAACGGGGTCCACGAGCTGGTGAAGAACGGGGTGTGAGCAGACGCCTCGCCCTCCGCCGAACAGCTTTTCTCGTCGATGGACCCCCGCGAACCACAGGGCCCCTGGGCTTCCCTCTCTCGTCCGACTCCTGTGCCTGGGCGCCTTCCGCAGGGAGCACTCCAAACTCCAGAGTGTGTGTAGGATTCTCGACTTTGAAGGTCTTATTTATGTTTTTTGATGACGTGATGTTCCGAGCCCAGGAGGTCACTGCTGTCCAGGACGTTCCCTGCGGCCGCGGCCGGTCGGGCGCAGCACCGCTCTCCCCGGAGCTGGGCGCTGTCTCCAGAGCCGCACGTCGTGATGACAGGCGGTTCGCGTCGGAAAGGTCCTGTGGCTCTGGAAGTCTGTTCTATTTTATCAGAAAGTAACCTTTTTAAAGAAAATAACTGGACAATAAAATAAATGTTTATTTTAGTCTCTGGGGCGTCATGTGCACCTTGAGGAGTTCATCCCGTTGGGAAAACAGGACGCGGGAGAAACGGGATGAGGCAGAAACCAGCGCCCCTGTGGGAACCTGGCTGGAGGGTCTGACGCTCCGCGCTCTGGACTTGGTCTCGCCAGATGGCTGTTCTCAGGCGCGTTGGCTGTCAGACCCGCGGTGGGCACTCGGGTGGGCGAGCGGGCGGGGGCGGCTGGCGTCCGCTGCGTCCTTGCCGGGGTGTCTGCTCGCAGTCCCGCCCGGGCCCCGGAACCGGCTCACGCCAGCACTTCACCCCCTGCCCAGTTATCGGGGCACTCGGGGTTCCAGCGAGCGTAGTTCCTGCGTCTTCCCGGCGAGCTGACCGCTGCCGCCCGGGGTGGCTGGTTGCTTTGCGGCTGTTTGAAGAGAATGACTGGGTGTCACCTGTGGGCCGCAGAGACCTGCTGCAGGTGCGAGTCCTCCCTTCACTGCGTGACGACCTGGGGGCAGTGGGGGCAGCCCTCCAGTCACCCGCCGCACGCACGGTTTGGGAACCACCGCGTAGAGCATCTGGGGGGCTGATCGGAAGTTCAGGGACGGCACCAAGGAGAACATAAACCAGGACAGGGACAGAGACGCTCACGTTCCCAGAGCAAGAACATGTCCCCCAACCCCAGTGTGAGCCTTCAGTGACCTTCGTTCACAGAGCAGCGTGGGGTGGCTCCGATGGTGGGCAGGTGGCGGGGCGGCTGCGAGACCCACCCGGGACGCTGCACCTGGGAGGACACGGCGCCCGGCGCTGGGGGTTCTGAGCTGCTTGCACAGGCGGAGAAGACTCCAGGTCTGGAGAGTGACGGTCTGGTGGGGGCGGGGCGGCTCTGGAGGGGTCGTGGTGCGTGTGGCCTTGAGCACTCATGAGGGACGTCTGCGTCCTCCTGGGACGGCAGCCACAGGCGCTGGAGACGAGCATCGGGCAGGAACCAGAGTGAGAAGGGACAGTGAGGCCTGGAGGGACGCGTGTTGTGGGCAGGACAGGCCCCTGTGGATTTTAACCACTGTGGTTGCACGTGTACATGCTTTGAAAAACTTGTCAAGCTGAACACAAGATTTGTTTTATGCTTTGAAGTTATATCTCAGTTAAAAAGAAAATGGGGCCCTGGCCAGTTTGGCTCAGCGGTGAGAACGTCGGCCTGCGGTCCAGAGAGACCCGGGTTCGGTTCCTGCTAAGGGCACGGACCTGGTTGCACTTTGTCCCCGGCCCTGGTTGGGGTCGTGTGGGTGGCGGCCAGTCGATGTGTCTCTCCCCACTCCCTCCTGCTCTATATGAAGATAAATGCATAAAAGTGCCCTCGGGTGAGGATTACAAAAAGAAAATGGGGCTCTCACTTGGCATTTTGGAGTTCTAAAATAGGTTTCAAAATCACCGGTCCAAGAGAGTTTAAATAACTTCCCTAAGGTCCCAGCACCAGTAGCCGGCAGAGTGGGCATCACGTTCCGGGTGGCCCCGACTCCAGAGCCCGATTCACGAGCGGTGCCGACCCTGCCAAGCCTCCCATCCCAGCACGTGCACCAGGGCGGCTTTGAAAGAGTCAAGGCAGGAGACAGCGTGTGCCGTCCTGAAGCTGCCGGGGTCGGGGAGGTGGAGGCAGTTGCCGGAGCAGTCCTGGCGAGAGGCGCGTGGCCAGAGGTTGGATCTGGCTGCAGCCTCGAAGAGGAAACATCAGAAGCACAAGAGACCAGAAATCAGGACCAGCTGCTGCCGCCAGGGCCACGCCCAGGGTAGTGAAATCGGGACCCGCGGCTTGGTCACAAAACAGCAGCCCCGGCCAGTCCCTGCTCAGCCTCTGCCCCATTTCCTCTTCATTTATAGGAAGGCGGGTGTGTGCATGTGTGTGCATCTGTATCTGTGTCTCTGTGTGCGTGTGTGTGCGTGTGTATGTGCGTGCATCTGTATCTGTGTATCTGTGTGTGCGTGTGCGTGCATCTGTATCTGTGTGTCTATGCGTCTGTGTGTGCGTGTGCGTGTGCGTGCATATGGTGTGTGGTTGCAGGGACCTCAGAGCAGCTCTGGGAATAACGGATCAGCCTTGGAGACCAGAACTGGGCTATATTTAGATGAGAGGCTGTTTCAGTCGGAACTTGCCCTCACCCCTCCCGCTCCCTTTATTATGTCCTCTGCACACGTGTCCACTGCCCCTCAGGGACGGAGGCCGGCACTGGGCAGTGGGAAGGGCCCGAGGACACCACGTGGCTCCACTCGCGGTGGGTGGGAAGCCAGGCAGGAGGCTCCACGACGTGCTCCTGGTGGTGAGAAGAAACCCCACAGCCGACAGTTGGTGCCTCGGGCGCAGGGGAGTTGAAGACCCCGTCCCCACGGACAGCTCGGTGCTCAGACTGCTTCACTCATCAACCTCACCCCAGCCCGACATGAGAATGTCCACATGGAACCGGACCAAAGGCCCGGAGTCTTCTCTCCGTCAGCGTCTGTCAGGACCTTGGCCCGCACTTCATCCACCTTCCGACAGTGACACTCGGGGCTTGTTCCTGCAGCTGCCCGGAGTCTTCTGGACGGCGGCCTGTGCGTGTCCTCCTGTGGTCGGCCGCTGTCGGTCGGGGCTGCAGGGAGCAAGCCCTGAGGCTGAGGTCACACCCCGGAGCAGATCTTCACGACTCACCTTCGCCTTACTTCCCGGGTGCATTCCGCTGGCTCCGGTGACAGCTCCCCTCGGCCGTCCCGGCCGGCTCGGTGCAGGGAGGCCTTTGTCCCAGGCTGGTTCTGAGCAGCAGTTTCCAGCGCTCGGGCAGACAGAAAGCTCCACTCAGGTTCTGGAAGGCTGGGAACTGTTCATCCCAGGGTGCCCGCGTCCCACTGTAGGGCAGCGTTTCTGGAGGGCCCTCCGACAGCTTGGCATGGAGCAGCGTCTCTGCTGGCCCATCTCTGCTGTCGGACGTCTCTCTCTGCAGAAGGACTAACAGATCACCTGGTCTGAGGTTTTTCCAGCAAGACAACCAAGGACCAGAGAGGAGTGACCCCCAGGAAGTCAGGTGGCTAGTTAGTGACAAAGTTCAGGCTACATTTGTAGCTGAGGGTCCCAGGTAAATGGAGAGTAATTAAAGGTCCAGATGTGTGTACGGTGGAAGGACCTGCAGAGTAAGGTGGGGAAGGGGAGGGTAGGACGGGCCCAGGGCCCAGCCCCAGAAGTAGCACCACGGCGTGGTGACTGGGGGGGGGGTCAAATGTTCTGATTTTACTGCCTCCCACAGAAGACCTTTGGAACAAAGGGCCCGATACATTAATTTACACTAAAGTGTTACTTGACATTTAATTTGTTACCTGTTTTGTGCTTAGAAAGCTGAATGACAGCCCAAGGTTCATTCAAAACACCAGCTCTTCCCTGGCCGGTGCGGCTCAGTGGTCGAGCGTCGACCCTGCTCCAGGAGGTCGCCAGTTCGATTCCCGGTCAGGGCCCAGGCCCAGGTGGTGGGCCTGATCCCCAGTGGGGGGCGTACAGGAGGCGGCCAGTCGATGTTCTCTCTCACCGATGTTTCTCTCTCTCTCTCTCCCTTCCTCTCTCTAAAATCAAAAAAAAATAAGTTTTAAAAAACACCAGTCCTCCTGCCCTCACTCCATCCTGTCTCCTAGAAGTGGCCACTTTAACTCCTTGTAGCTTTTCCTTCCGGTTTTCCCTCCATGTGTCTGTGTATCTGTGTGTCTGTGTGTCCATGGAGCGGTTCATGAGTTTATCAGTCTTAGATGTTGCTGTCACCTTTCTGCTGTGGAGGGTGAGGCCTCAGCTTCCTGAAACCATTTCTTAGGACCGTCTGCCCGTCATCCTTCTGATGTTGGGGGCGATCAGTACTGACCTTCGGTGTTGCGATCACATAAACATGTCCCACAGGCGTGATGTTCACTGACAGCTCCGTGTGTGAGCCGGAGCTGATCACGTGCTTATGGTTTTCACGTGCTCAGCTTGTTGCTCTGTCGGGATGAACCGAAAGAGCGCACAGAGCTTTCCGTTTCCAAGTGTCCGGCTCGCCACACACCCTCCGCCCCTGCTCTCCCCGTCTTTAGAACCAACTCCGGGCCAAAAGCATAATGAAAGATCACTTTGCAGGTGGCGGGCCAGATAGAAGTCCTCGTTCAGATATTTTTCCCTATTTTTTTCATGTGCCCTGAAGTGATAGTTTCACACTTCTATAATCTATTTATTTATTTTTTATATTCAGCCTGTTCAGATCCTCAAACCCAGAACACCGATTTTATTTTCATTTGATTCTTCTTTTCTCTGAAAACTACAAATTAAGCTTCTATTATTCCCAAAGCAGCTTCCTTTCTGTTCTGCGTCCCTGGGTTTTCGAATAACTGCTCCCCAGGAAGAACCAAACAAGAGCTGGTGGCATGGTCGCTGGCGTGTTGAGTGATCCTCAGAGGACGGGTCTCCCTCTCTGACGGTGGTGTTCTCGTCCGGCCTTCGAGGGATGACGGAGACTTGTCGGACCCGCAGGACACAGCAAGATCATATCGTTTGACAACATTTGAAAGTGAAAAATGAGAAGTTTAACCAATATTCTGTTTTTATCATTCTGCAGAAGGTGTTTTGTGTGGTTGTCTATTCTCATTTTCTCTGAGACATCATTCTCGAAGGTACATGTGAAGATATGATTATGATTCTACATGTAACAGTGTGTTTCAGATTTGGAGACTTTGTGGGCTGTTTCTAGAGACTGTCTTTTAAACTAATTTCAAAATAGAAATAAAAATGCTGGAGGGTTGAGACAGAGCCAGGAGGCAGGTCGACGCGGTGGCCCCGGGGACATGCACCTTTAACTCTGGGTGTCTCCCTGGCCTTTCGGAAATCACTGTGGGTTATTGTTTTTAATCCTCACCCCGGGGTATTTTTATATTTATCTTTAGACAGAGTGGGAGGGAGGGAGAGGGAGAGAGAAACATCGATGTGAGAGAGACACACCGACTGATTGCCTCCTGCACAAGCTTGACCAGGGCCGGGGACAAATCGCAACCGAGGTATGTGCCCTTGACCAGAATTGAACCCACGACTCGTTGGTCCGCGGGTCGATGTTCTACTGCTGAGCCAAACTGGCCAAGGCGTCACTTCAGATTTTCATCCGCGTTGGGTCACCTTTTCAGCTTTTCTGTGGGATGGGCCAGGAATCAGGACACCTGGGTTCTCACCTGCCTTGTGGTGAACCAGGGAAACCAGGGCCAAGTCCCGGCTCCTTCCAAGTCCCGGTCTCCTCGCCTGCAGCGTGCAGTGGGGTGTGTGTGTGTGTGTGAGTGTGTGTGTCTGAGTGTGTGTCTGTGAGTGTGTCTATGTGTGTGTGTCTGAGTATCTGTGAGTGTGAGTGAGTGCGTGTGTCTGAGTGTGTGTGAGTGTGTGTGTGTGTGTGTATCTGTGAGTGTGAGTGAGTGCGTGTGTCTCTGTGTGTGTGGAGGACCTGGCTCAGTGACTACACGTGTCTTTTTCTGTGTCTCTGCAGTGCACATGTAGCCAGTGGTTATGGGGTAGATGCCGTTATACCTGCTCTACGTGTCTCAGCTGATTTATTCTTCGCAACAGCCCTCCCAGCTACATCTCAGAGAGGTCAAATAGGTCACTCAAGGTCATTCTCAGAGCTGAGCTGCACTCCTGAGCTCTCCGCGTCTGCTTTCACCCCGTCTCTGAAGTTCTCCGAGGCGGAGGAGATGGAGGCCGGCAAGCAGGCGGGGACACCAGGGACCCTCCAGGCCAGAGCCTGGTGGAGACCCTGAGACGCTCACTGCCGTGCCGGCGCCAGGATCTGCCACGGGCCCGGCAGCCCTGGGGGGCTGTGCTGCCCGAGCTGCGTCACCCTGCTCGCTGCTCGAGCACCTTCCATCGGCCACGAGGACGCACCGGCCGGGGGGTCAGTTGACATCACGGTACATTGTGAAAATCAGCCGAGTTCAGACCTTACTTTGTCCATTCAGCTCAGCTTTTCAGCTTGTGTTGAAGAGTCACACCCAGACTGATTTTAATTTTCCTAAAAATTTCTCATTTCTGCCCGGCCGGTGTGGCTCAGTGGTTGAGCGTCGACCCTGCACCAGGAGGTCGCCGGTTCGATTCCCGGTCAGAGCACAGGCCCAGGTTGTGGGCCAGATCCCCAGTAGGGGGCGTGTAGGAGGCGGCCAGTTGATGTTCTCTCTCATCGATGTTTCTCTCTCTCTCTAAAATCAATAAAGAAAATAATTTCTCATTTCTTTCTGGGGGGTGGGGCTAACAAGCAGCAGCACAAAGATGGGGACCCAAGGGGGAAGGGAAGGGGTAGAGACGTGTCCCCACATGATGAGCAGACCTCTGTCCCTCCCACCCCACCACATCCACGTGGACCAAGTGGTGTGCATTGGACAGCTCCAGCCGGTCTCAGGGTCGCCGCCACCAATCTCGCATGACAAGGAGCAGAGAAGCAGGAATCGAGGAAATGAGTTGAGGAGAGAGAGCGAGAGAGAAGCATCTGTGTGAGAGAGAAACGTTGACTCCTGTACGCAACCTGACCAGGATCAAACCTGTAACCTGGTGTACAGGACGACGCTCCAGCCAACAGCCACCCAGCCAGGCTGGTTTCTTCTGTAACCACAGGCCTAGCACCTGCTCATCTTTTAACTGGGAGTTTGTACCTTTGACCCCCTCCCTCCAAGCTCCCCACCCTCCCCACCCCACCTCTGGTAACCACAGGGTTGATCTCATTTTCTGTGAGTTTTTCTCTTAATCTCTTTTTAAAGATTGTACATATAAACAAGATCATCCTGTTTCTGTCTTTTTCTGACGTAGTTCACCTAACACAGTGCCCTGAGGCTCCATCCATGTCGTTGGCAAGATTTCCTCGTTTCCGTGGCTGAGTCATATTCCCTGCGCGCACTCGTCCACGGGTGACCCGGGGCCACTTCCGTACCAAACGTCGCATCTTTGTGAGGCAGGCTCCCGGGGAAGGCTCGTCGCGTGTGTGGCCTCTGTCACCTCTGACCTGCCTTCCAGTCCTCTGGGTCATCAGAAGAGTCTTCTCAGTGGGTATCTCTGTACTGCACGACCCACACTGTACTGCATACTAGGACTGTTAGACCCGGTTCTGGTTCTGCGTCTCCTCGTGGAAGGACCCGGTTCTGGTTCTGCGTCTCCTCGTGGATGAAACTGGTTCTGGTTCTGCGTCTCCTCGTGGAAGAACCCGGTTCTGGTTCTGCGTCTCCTTGTGGAAGAACCTGGTTCTGGTTCTGCGTCTCCTCGTGGATGAAACTGGTTCTGGTTCTGCGTCTTATCATTGAATGACCCGGTTCTGGTTCTGCGTCTCCTCGTGGAAGAACCCGGTTCTGGTTCTGCATCTTATCATTGAATGACCCGGTTCTGGTTCTGCGTCTCCTCATGGAAGAACCCGGTTCTGGTTCTGCGTCTCCTCGTAGAAGAACCCGGTTCTGGTTCCTCCTCGCGGGTCTTGCTTCCCACCTGCTGCCTCCAGCCGTCCTGCGTCCTCCGGGGCCCAGCTGTGAGCAGACGAGAAGGACCAGCTTCCGAGGAGCCTCAGGAACTTAGCAGACAGTGGGCTCCGCGGCCACCGCATTGGATGGAGGTCTCCTGGCCCCTGTTCCGCTCGGGAAGATTCTCCTGCTCCGGACGTTCTGGGGGATGGTCCCTGCAGGCCCCTGTCCACCCGCCTGCTTGCCCCTCAGAGCAATCCCAGGTGACCTGTGGCGCCCCGTGGAGAAGGGACCGCAGCGGTCTGAGAGCCCAGGGGAGGAGGCATCTATGAGACTGTGTCTGGAGGTTGGGTTGGGTCTCCTGAACTCCCGTTACCACCCCCCCCCATCTCCTGACCTCGCACCCCCGCTAGGCTGCCCTGGGGGTGCTCAGGACCGGCCCAGGCTCCGCGGGGTGGCGGCCACCCGCCGAGGAAGGCGTCCTCCTGTGGCCAGCCTCTCCTTCCACACGATCTCCGGCCACAGCCATGGAGAGGAAAAAAAAAAAAGGAGGGAAAAGGTTTTCGAAATAAATGAGGACGTCTTGTAAACGCCCGTGTTTTCATTTAGCAGCAGCGACCCCGTGGGCACCGAGTGGACAGAGGGGTCCCAGAGCCTCCAGGTGTCCGTGTTCCTGGTGGGGGCGCTGGGGGACGGGATGGGCTCAGATCTTCTGGGGGGGGGCAGCTCTGCGCTCTCACGGACGAAACTCCGAGGACCAGCTCCGTGTGCGCGACCCGGCTGCCCTGCACGCCCCACGCGGGAGAGGACCCCAGCCTTAGCTGTTCCTGCAGCATCAGCCGAGTGAGAAAACCAGGTGGGGTCGCCGGTGGGGACCCGTGTTCCACGCAGGGGCGGGGGCGGGGGCGGGGGCGGCTGCGCCTTTAAGACCGTCCCGCGGTCGGACATCTTTCCTTCCCGCTCGGCCCGCGGTCCCTGGGGAGACCACGTTTGGAGAACTAGTCTGCAAACAGAAGAACTAGTCTCCAAACAGAAAACAGCTCTGATTGGTGCCTCCTCCTCCCTCCCGGCCCCGTCCTAATGGAAACCACATGTGCTGGACGCTGGGCGCTGGCGCCGGCCCAGGAATCCCCAGAATGTGAGGTTTCTCGCAAAGGCATCTTGCATCAGCCGTGGATGTGTGCCTGCCGCCGGGCTCCTGCGCCGGCCGAGCGAGCGCGAGAGCCGCCCTTCACACCCAGCCCTCCTCGGGGGTCGGGGGCCCTGGATTTCAGCTCCTTCCCGCAGCTGCGCCCTCCTGGATGAGCGTGAGTCCGAGTGCTGCTTTCTGCCTCCGTTTCGTTCTTTCTTTCCCGAAAACGAAAGCTCTGACGGGACTTGTGGCCTCGGGAAGTTTCACAAAGCAGGCCGAGGGGTTCAAGTCAGGGAGGCAGGGGAGCATCGCCTTTCTGGGGGGGCCTGGGCTTACGCTCTGGGGGGAAGAAGACGGAGAGCGGCCCCCGAAGGGAACGGAGGCGCAGGGGACCCCAGCTGCGGCCTGCGGCGCGGGGACGGAGGCAGGCCCCTCGGACCGCCGGGCAGGGAGGCGGCCCGTGCTGGCTTGTGAGGGCCCGGATTTGGGGGAGGACATCCTCTGGTGCTTTTCTTTCTCGGGGGAGCACGACTGGTTGTGGGGCGCCTTGGGCAGCGCGGCGGCCTCACCGAGGTTGAGCGGCAGGGCCTGCGTGGACGGCGGCGGGGAGCCCAGCGGCCAGCGCTTCCGCCTGGCCTGGGAGGCTGGGCTGCCCTCCTCTTGTCGCCAGGACTTGGGGCTGCTCGTCCGGTGGACCTCTGAGTCCTGGCTGAGGCTCAAGAGTCCCAGCCAAGGGAAAGCGTGTTTTCCGAGCGGCGGAAACCTCCGGCCATTTCAGGCGGGGGCCGCGCGGCTGGGCCGGGGCCTCAGCACCATTTTGCTGACGGCCTGCTCCAGCCTCCTCCCCAGGAAGCCGGTCCTGAGACGGCCGGGGTCTCACCGGCCTCGCCGCAGTGACCCCAGAGGGTCTCGGCTTCCCCCACACGTTCCCGGCAGGGCCGAGATCAGAGGAGCCGGATTAGCCGTCGGCACAGGACCGGGGGCCTCAGCCAGCAGGGTTGAGGGTGCTGGGCGCGATGGTGGCGCCTGTGGGACCTGCGCCATGTACAGGGAGACAGCGACCCCGGGCCTCAGGGTGCCCCAGGCTCCGCACGCGGAGCGCACCCCGATGTGCGAGGGGCCCAGCATGGAGAACCCGCTGTGTCAGGCTCCCGTGTGGGCTGAGCCTGGGGGGCTGCTGTTTGCGTCTCCTTCCCGAATTGAGGCGTCACTGGCACCGGACATTTGCAGCAGTTTCAGGTTTACACGGGGCCGCTAGCTGCACACACTGGAAACGGCCCCTCGCACATCGGCCAGTTAACACAGAACAACATTTTCTTCTCGTGACGAGGACTCAGACCTGGGCTGAGTCATGGAGCAGCAACATCCCCTCAGGCCCCCTCCCCGCGGGGCTGGGTCAGGCCCGGGCTGGTCCCTGGTCCCGGCAGCCCAGGCTCCTCGTTGTCACGCAGGAGCCAAGAGGGTCGGGGCTCAGGTCCCTGCACCCTGGGCCCTGCCGGGTGGTTCGAGGGCAGCTGTCCTGAGAGAGCTGGACGCGGCCTGGGAAGGGCCTGAGCTGCCCAGTGCTTGAGGGTGGTCACCGGACGCCGGGCCCTGACGTGAGCAGCCTGGGCCCGTGGGGTGTGCGGCAGGAGGGGTTGCATTTGGGCCACCTCCTCGGATGGAGACCTGGCGGCAGGGAGCTGGGCAGACAGCCCTGCAGCGAAGAGTGCCGTGAGCTGGAAGGGACGGGGGCCTGCACCCCGGGGGGCGCGGATGGAATGGCCACCCAGGTGTGTCCGGTGACACTTGAGGGAGAAGCGGGGTGTGGGGGTGAACACGGCTGTTCAAGTGAGGAGGCGGGAGAAGCGGGGTGTGGGGGTGAACACGGCTGTTCATGTGAGGAGGCGGGAGAAGCGGGGTGTGGGGGTGAACACGGCTGTTCATGTGAGGAGGCGGGAGAAGCGGGGTGTGGGGGTGAACATGGCTGTACATGTGAGGAGGCGGGAGAAGCGGGGTGTGGGGGTGAACATGGCTGTCCATGTGAGGAGGCGGGAGAAGCGGGGTGTGAGGGAGGAAGCTGAGCAGCTGTGGGAGGGACCGGAAGGACCCCGGGAGATGGAACCGGGAGATGGACCCGGGAGATGGACCCGGGAGATGGACCCCGGGAGATGGCATTGCTGCCCAGCTGGGCCGAGCAGAGAGAAGGTGGGGCGCTGGCTTGGGGCACATGAGGACCTGGCCTTACCCCCTGGAGCCAAGGACCAGCGCCCCCGGGTAGGAGGGCTCAGCGCCCCGCCCGCCCCACAGTGAGGACCGCTCTGCGCTGCTCGGGACCCGCAGGAACAGCGCGCAGTGGGCACAGCTGGAGTCTCCAAAGTTGAGCCTCGGCAACCAGTGGGCTTCTCGCTAGGGAGCCGGTCGGGGTGAGGGCCGGGCCCCATGCTGGAGCATGTTTGGGCTGCTTCCCCGCAGGACTCCCCGAGGCCCTCCGCGTTGAAGAGCCTTTGCCCCCCAAGAGCTCAGCTTGTGCTCCGGGCACTACTGGGCCCGGGGGGCTCTGCTTGGAGGAAGCCTCAGGCCAGGCTGCACCGCGTTGGAGATTCCAGACGGGAGGTCTGTCTGGGAGACACGTGTCCTGCAGGGGGTTGGGGGCCGGCTCCGCTGCGGACGGAGCTCTGGCCACGGATCGGCTCTCGTGTCCTTTCTTCAGAAGTCACACCAACGCCAGACGAGCCCGCGCTCCTCGGCCCCCAAGCCACTCCATGCCCGGCTGTTGGGAAGGGGACCCTGCCCTGCGGCGTTTCTCCTCGGGGACGCTCTGGGCAGGGCAGTGAGACATGACGCAGGAACGTGGCTCCACCCTGAGGCCCGAGGGAGCGGGCTCTTTGAGGCACCTGGTGTGGGTGCAGCTATCCTGGTTGCCAAGGCAACACCGGCTCCCAGAGGCCACGTACCGACACCCAGGGCCACTGACGCACCGGGCCTTCTGGCTGCAGAGCAACTGTGAGGTGGACCCTGGCCTGGGTTTCCTGCATCCGCAGGAAGGCGCTCGGCTGGACCAGGGACTCTGAGGATTTGGGAGGAGGGACTGGGCTGGGTGTCCCGTCCTGCCCTGGGTCCCCCCTCGGGCTCCAGGCAGCGACCGGACTCTCCGTCCTCGGTCCCCGTCTCAGTTTCGCCCCCACAGATCTCAGCCCGACTCTGCCGCTGCGTCTCCGCTCGCTGACCTGTTTCCATGGTCAGGAAACCACGTTCTTTATGTTCAGATCCGAACCCACCATCTTTCGGCACAAACCAGGTCCTCGTCCACTGTCCCAGGTCCTGTTCTTGGCGACGTTCTCTGCCATGGCCACTGCCCTGGGCCGCCCGTCAGGGAGCCCGTCACCGGCCGCCCTTAGCGCCCACGCCCCTCTCTGCCCCTCCCGGGGTCATCGTCCAGGCTCTGTGGGTCCCCCGCCCCGTCTGTCTTCTGAGGCCCCCACGAGCCCACGCCACGGTCCGCGGCCTCCGCCCCGCTTCACCTCCAGTCACGACACCTTCCTGTCCTGCAGCCCCCATTGGTCAGTGTCCTCATCTTGGACGACAACATCCTGCTCGTGTTTCAGGAGATGCCTGCTTGCCCCCGGCCCCCCTGAGCACATGCTGCTGGCTGCTCTCGTCCTTTCTGCCCCGTTAGCCCCCCGCTCACGGCTCCCTCGAGCTGCGACTCCTTGTCTGCGCCCTCACACCTGATACTTAGCGGAAGCTGGACGCTCTGTTGGATAAATTACTATTAAATTATGAGTCTATTATTCAAAATAATAACCTTCAGAAGGAAACAGCCCACTTGTCTTAATAATTATTACCATTGTCCGGCCGGTGTGGCTCAGTGGTTGAGCATCGACCCTGCACCAACAGGTCGCTGGTTCGACTCCCGGTCAGGGCACAGGCCCAGGGTGTGGGCCGATCCCCAGTGCGGGGCGTGCAGGAGGCGGCCAGTCGATGTTCTCGCTCATCAAGGTTTCTCTCTTCCTCTCCCTCTCTCTCTAAAATCAATAAAGAAAAAAAAAATTAATATAATCAAATATTAATTAAAGAAAACACTCCACAGACCCAGAACGAACGTGGTCTTGGGTTTGGCGTTCCGTCTGGTTGAGGGATGTTTTCTGAAGAACTTTGGTTCCAGCTGCAAGGCTGGTCAGTGGACCATTCGTCTGAGGGTCGCTCGTGTCCCCCTCTGAGCTCGGGCCTCACTCGGCACGGGGGAGCCTCAGGGACCCGGCTGGGACTAGGGACAGACCTGTTCACAGCCGTGAACCGGGGCCCAGGGGGCGTCCGGCAGTTGTGGCTGCTCTGGGACCTGCTCAGATGTGCATCGCTTTGCTCGTCCCCTCCCGAGCGTCTCCCCCGAGCTCGGCGGGTTCCTCAGGTTCCGTGAGCAGACGAGGCCGCAGGCAGACATGTGCCCTCGTCCTGAAGCAGACAGACGAGAAACACCGCAGGAAATTCCCTTTCGTGGAGAAAAATCCCTCACATCTGCCTGTATCTGCAGACATTCCAGAAGCCGAAGCCAGGGGCTCCCCAGAAAGCCAGCTCGGCCCGGGATGCAGATCTGCCCCACCCCGCGTTCTGTCGGCAGGACAGTGAAGGGGGCTACGGAGGACGGAGCGGGGTGGGTGCTGTCTCAGCTCACTCGTGGGTCCCAGCGTCGCCCAGCTGCGGCTCAGCGAGGGGAGGAGCCCAGACGCTCCGCGCCCGTCAACACCGGTTCCCTCCGGCCTCCAGGAATGTTGCCCCCAACAGCCAACCTTCGCCACCTTGGGGCACCGGGAAAGAGCTGTCAGCGCGCTGTCTGGGGCCGCGGGCCCTGTCCCCACCTCGACGCGACCCGAGGGTCTGAGTGTGTCAGGAACAAAGAGAGGGTGGCGTCTGCACACACCCCTGTGAAGAGGGCTCATTTCTCTGGAACCGCGAGGTCGGGCGGCCGTCTAGGGGACCATCTCTCGGTTTCTGGAGAAGCCAGCTGCAGGCCCGTGGGGCCTGGACGCCCGAGGGAGCCATGTGAGGACTCAGGACACGGCTGTGCCCGGGGGGTCACTTCACTCCCTTGAGGTCTGCGTCCTCCGCAGGAGCGGCTGGACACGCGAGTGTCGTTAGCAGCCCCCACGCGGCCTCAGCCGGTCTGTGGAACCCGACCGCGCCCAGGAAGGGGTG